ATATGATCTTTTTTTGAAAATATTTAGAAAGATCCTCTTCTGTGGGGAAAAAAATCTGCTTTGTTTACATCGCAATGCAAAATAAGGTTTTTGAAGGTTGATTGCTAAAGCACTTGATGGCTACTTTAAAGGAAATCTTTGATCTCTGGATTTGTGAAATAACTGGAACTTTTTTTATTGGAAAACGTTGTCACCAAAGATGAATAAACCCCTTTGAAGACCCATAAAACAGACTTTAATGTGGACTTGAATGATTATTTAAAAATAAAAAAGACTGTAATATGGGAGATTTATTGGAGTTACTTCATGGGAAGTACAAATGGACCTGGATAAAGTTAATAAGAATGTCAAGAGAAGAAGCAAGAAGACTGGAAGAAAACAGGAAAGAGAATCTTAATTATGGGTTTTATGGATGTCTGGGAGGTAGAAGAAAAAATGGCATTAGTTTATTTGACTATGGTTAAATAATGAGTTGCTTAATTCATTATATAAACTCACCTTGTAATGTGAGTTGTAATGATGTAAAAGATTATGAAAGCTAAGTTTAGTCCTTACACTTAACAGAATTATTACTAAATATATTTTTTAAATCCTTTATAGAGTTTCTTTTTAGCTTTCCTTTTCCAGAACGGTGACTGTGATTGCCATAGCTTTGTTCTCTGTAGATCAAAGGGGTAAAATATAGGACCTTAAACTAATTTTTCACTTTCCTCCTGCGTAATTCTAGACACAAACAACTTTTTCTTGCTGAATTCCAGAGAGCCTCAAATTAAGGATTAAAAATATTGCATGGATCACTGGGCACATCCTATTATTCTTGATCAGTCAAGGGTCATTTTAGACAGTGTGATCCCCAGTGGCATAACTGAAAAAGGAGAAAGGAAGGTGTTGCTGAAATTTGACACATAGAAAATGATGATGATGTTGGGGTATTATAACAGCATTTTGAATGCCTACTAAAACACCTTACTTCAATTTATATTTAGCACAATCAAGGAAGAGTTGTTTTGAGTATGTTTCTCACAATTTCTAATTTCTCTAGAAGGTTACCTTGGCAACAAAAACTGGATTTAAATTGGCCAAAGCATTACTAATGGAATGTTGACAAAGGAAATATGTTGGATTTTCATGGCATCTTACTATAAGCCTACAAAGTTTGAGCTGAAAGTGAGGTTGTATATTATTGTGCCAATAGTCCAGTTTTTTTTAAAAAAAAATTGAAAGGCACAAAAATATATTCATATTTAATGGAGCGTCGGGGGAAGAATATTTTTTAGTTGTACTAAAACCTAAGCACTGGTTTATCAGATTTCAAACAAGCAACAATGGGCAGACATTAATATCAGTAGGAAAAATAACATGAAAATATTTTGAAAGCACGTGTTTCCTATTGATAGACTGTAATACATTATCACCAATCATTTTGATTGTCAAAGTATTATTCTATTAATAGAGATGAAACAAAATCACTTTGTGAGGCAGATGGGTGGTTCCCAAGTTTCATATGTAAATAAATAAAAACAAATACAATGTAAATTTAAATCCCAACTATCCTCATTTTGCAAAATTTGTTTATTTATTTTATGGATTTTTAATTAATATTACAGTTAAAGAACTTTCATAGCATTGATTGACTCTTCGGCTTATTTGCCATACAGTGCTTGAAGGTTGTTCTAGGTGACATTATAGAAAATTGTTTGGTTATTTAAATATGATTACAAACTTTAAAAAAAATTGAAATAGTATTTACACTGCCACATTCTTAACAGATATGTTGCTGGCCAATTAAAAAGCATTAAAATAATACTAACAGGAAGTAAAAAGGGCAAGACTTAGATAGAAATAAGGAGACTTGTTTTGTACTAGACAAGAGAATGCCAAATATTTGAAAGCTTTCAGAAATAGCAAAACACTAATCAAAGCTCAATGAGGATTGAAGTTGCCTGTCGACCATCCTCCATGAGGTGTGACAGGGCTTTTGAAATGGCCTTCAGAAAGGGCACACTGGTATGACATCTAAGCATGATAGTGTGGCTTTTGTTATGGGGAGAGGTATTGCCTTTTTTCTTAATTCATGGATAGTTCTGCCTCTGCCACATACATACATACATACACACATACACACACAGAGGGAGCTATAGTAACAGACTTTATGCAAACATACGTAGACTTTATGCAAATATATTAAAATAAATATAGTTTTGTGAGGTGGGGCATATATAAATGGTTAGGACAAATTAATGTATCTGAGCTCAATTCGCACTACATGCAAATAACATACTTCTATTCCACTGATTTTGTTTTTTAATTGTGAGTTTAGAATCAATGGTTGTTTTGTTTTTAGCTGAATAGTACTTGGCAATTTTAAAAAAAACTTTATAAAAGATGAACCTGACAATTATTTAGAATTAGATTCAAACATGAGATTACAGATTCTGAATTATGACGGCTTTGTGGCCAAAATGGAACAATAGAAAGTAAGGGGCAACTACAGGTAGTTCTTGACTTACAACAGTTTGTTTAATGGCCATTCAAAGTTACAACAGCACTGAAAAAAGTGACTTATAACTATTTTCCACACTTAATGACCGTTGCAGCATCTCCAGGGTCACGTGATCAAAATTCAGATGCTTGACAACTGACTCATATTTATGATGGTTGCAGTGTCCCGGAGTCATGTGATCTTCTGCAACCTTCTGACGAGCAAAAGAAATGGGGAAGACAGATTCATTTAACAACCGTGTTATTAACTTAACAACTGCAGCAATTCACTTAACAACTGTGGCACGAAAGGTCACAAAATGGGGCAAAATTGACAAAAGATTTGGGCTCAGTTGTGGTTGTAAGTCAAGGACTACCTATATTAGCATTCTCAGAAAAACATCACAAAGATATTTAAAATATATTCAGGGAGTGAATATGAATATATTCCAGAGAACTTGTAGGGTATAGTATTAGAGTGTTGAATTAGGAACCTAAGTTCTAGTCCTCCTTTTGGCATGAAAGTCAGCTGGCTGACTTTAGGCAATCACTTCCTTTTATCCTTTAATTAACGAACTCTGAAACAAACCGACTGAAATATCTATTAAAAATTACAGGGGATCCTTAGTTAGCAACTGTTTGAAGTTACAGCAGCATTGAACCAGAAAACCTACGATGGGTCCTTGTAGCTATAGCTATTGCAGCATCCGACAGTCATGTGATTGCCATTTGCTATGTTCACTGCTGGCTTCCTACAAGCAAAGTCAATGGGAAAACCATCAGGAACTAACAAATGATGCTCACATGACATCATGCCCAATGGCCATATGGGATAACAACAGCAACTGGAACTGCTTGAACTGCTGTCATAACTTGAGGTGGTCATGTGACTTCATGTTTTACAACCGTGTAGCTTAGCAACAGAGTTCCCAGTCCCACTGACCACTGTGAAAGCTTATCAGTTAACATCATTTATTGATAACTTTAATTCAAGAATTGCAATAACCAGAATCCAAAAGAATCAGTCTGTAACAAATTATAGGAACATCATATACTAAGGGTGGGAAATGAACACTCTAAAGCAGTGGTGGCGAACCTATGGCATGGGTGCCAGAGGAGGCACTTGGAGCCCTCTCTGTGGGCACGCATGCCGTTGCCCCAGCCCCGCCTCCCCCCATGGCCCCCTCCTCACCAGCAGCCCCCCTGGAGGAGAGTTGCCCTGGGCAACAGGGACAAGACTCCGCCCTCGCACCCCATAGTGTGCAGATGATACTGCGGGGTGTGGGCAGAGGGCATGGCTGCCATGGTGCTGCAGGGCTGCCTGGTGATCTGCTGCAGCAGGCCATGGAGGCGGTGCGTGGCCCTGCAGGCGGGTGGGGTAGGGGGTGGGTGGGGGCGGAGCAGGCAGGGTGGGAGGCAGAGCGGGGTGGGGTGGTGGTTTTTGAGCACCCGATCTCTAAAAGGTTCACCATCACTTCTCTAAAAAAAGCTGAATGGGCACAGAGTATTTTGAGTTTTGGAATAAAGAAAAGGGGAAAAAATATGGAGTTCTGATTGAATAAAGAGGATTTGGCAGGGGAAGTTGCTGTTGAACAATTCTACCTTCTGTTGTCGTTTCACTTGCTATTATTTATTTCCCAACTGTTAATAACAAATTAAAATATGCCTAAAATTCTAACAGAATGGACATCTGCTTACTACAAACTGAAAAGTTACTTGCCAGGGAGTTAAATAACACTTCACAGAAAGTTCAGTGAGAATGTTTTTATTTTAAAAAACAACAACAATCAAAGCCAGAAACCATGTGGTTAAAACAAGAAAAATCACACCCCAGCTTCAAACTAAATGACATCCCTAGAGGATTCTTGCTCTGAAAGGAAAATTGCTAAAAACAAAGACAAATAAACAAAAAAACTTCACTAAGCAAAACTCTTTTTATTTAAAAAGGGTTACTTAAATGATATTAAGATCAGCGGCAAGCAAATCTGTCTGGACAGAGCTTATCTCCATTGGGACGTTACACCAAAGAAAGTTCTCTTCCTGACAAATATGGACATGCAATATCTTTCCAGTTTCCAACCCACCAAACAAAAAGCGACAATAGAAATGTTGCTGGTAAAAACTTACCTTTTCTCCCTTCTGGCCTGGCAAACCAGCTACCCCTGGCCGTCCTGCTTCTCCCTGTTGAGAATAAAGCTAGGGTATTTATTCTAGAATCTTATGTTCTTTTTGGGGGGGAAAGTAAACAATTTTCTACAAGTAATGCCCTTACAGGATAAGTTATAAAGTGTAATTGTATAATATACCAGAGTTCCAGCTTATGGTAGTATTATTACTGATAGAAAAGGGAAGTACTTCAGTGACACCTGCAACTACTACAACAAACCCTACTCTGATCTTGCACTTGTTTCTCAAGTCTTCAAGAGGTCTAAGCTGATGTTTCTGATTGGAATGATATTGAATGATATCAGAAAAACCATTTCCCCTAATGCAGGGAGAAACAGTCTTATGCCTTTATCCTTGGAGTTAGGAGTAAGTGGCACTGCAAATGCTGCTGAATTATAACTTTCATCACCCTTCATTTGTAGGTACAGTTGTATGGACTGATAAGAGGTTGTAGCANGAGGTCTAAGCTGATGTTTCTGATTGGAATGATATTGAATGATATCAGAAAAACCATTTCCCCTAATGCAGGGAGAAACAGTCTTATGCCTTTATCCTTGGAGTTAGGAGTAAGTGGCACTGCAAATGCTGCTGAATTATAACTTTCATCACCCTTCATTTGTAGGTACAGTTGTATGGACTGATAAGAGGTTGTAGCAGCATAGATGGAGAACAACAGTTTTTCAAAGCTTGCTCTAGGTCAGAGGTTTTCAAATTTGGCCCTTTTATGACTTGTGGACTTCAAATCCCAGAATTCCTCAGCCAGCATGCATGGCTGAAGAATTCTGGGAGTTGAAGTCCACAAGTCATAAAAGGGCCAAGTTTGAAGATCCCTGCTCCAGGCAGTTCTCCAAAGGGCAAGCATTAGAGACTTCATTTCTGGATAAGTCCATAGATCTTATCTTCTCCCACTATTTGTTTTCCAACCTAGAAGATACACAGGTAGTCCTCAACTTATAGCCATTAATTTAGTGGCTGTTCAAAGTTACAACACTGTAACTGTTGCAGCATCCCCATAGTCATGTGATCAAAATTTGGGCACTTGGCAACTGGCATATATTTATGATAGTTGCACTGTCCCGGGGTCACAGGATCACCATTCACAATCTTCCCATTGACTTCTGACAAGCAAAGTCAATGGGGGAAGCCAGATTCACTTAACATCCACATGATTCACTTTACAACTGGAGTGATTCGCTTAACAACTGTGGCAAAAAAAGTTGTAAAATGGGATGCAGTTCACTTAACAACTGCTTAGCAATGGAAAGTGGACTCAGTTGTGGTCATATGTTGAAGACTACCTGTTCTTGTTCACAAATATGTAGGATATCATCATCACCATCACCATTATCATAATTTTTTTTCTGTATTTTTAAAAAGTTCCTATTTTTAATTTTCTGTGAGAAACAGAGTAAACTGAGCTGATTATTATCATCCTTGGTGAACACAAGCATGTCCAACATTATGTATTCAACTTTTCCAGTATATTTTATGTTAAAATTAAAATTGCTGGGCTAACAGACACATGTTCTGATATAAGAATACTTTAATGAGAGAGAAAGAATGAAAATAAGATATATTCTACTGCAAAATATCTACTGTGGCTTGATGTCTTCTATGTTTGTGAAAATTATATGCAAATATCATTATTTTAATTGACAATGCTTTATGAAAGTCATGCAAATTGCCTGGCTCAAGAGCTTAAATGATGCCCTTCTAGTAAGGACAGATGCAATTTCTGTGCAAAGCATTTGTTATTGATTTGCCAGTGTTTTCTGTCACACTGATATACAAACCTATATTTGCTCCCTGCTTCTAATGTACTTGAAATGTTTGTGGGAAATGCTGGTGTCCAGTGTCCTCCTGTTGTTTTGTTCATTGTTTTAATGTAGAGGTTGCAATAATTGACCTGGGCTATTAAAGGACCCATATTCTTCCATGTTGGTCAAGATACTTAGCCACTAGCTCAAATTACAGATGGCCCTGCTAATATTTTGAAGAATGGGTTCATAAATTAGCATTTCTATAAACAATCATACTGTTTGGATATTTCATCATTGTAACATAACTTGGAGAAATATTTTTCCAATCAATTTGAAATGGTTGTTATCATCCTCTATTATAGTAGATTTGTAAGTTCTTAATTTCCTAGTTGGTATCATCCTTCTTAAAGATAACAACGTATGAGTTTTTATAGTAAAAAAAAATATCACAGAAAATATAGACCTCAGATAACCCTGTACTATTTTAACTCACATTGTCATTCTCTTTGCAGTGCAACACATGTCTCTATAACAGAATAACAGAGTTGGAAGGAATCATGGAGGTCTTCTAGTCCAATCCTCTGCTCAAGCAGGAGACCCTATATCATTTTGGACACATGGCTGTCCAATTTCTTCTTGAAAACCTCCAATATTGGAGCACCCACAGTATCTGGAGGCAAGCCATTCCACTGATTAATTGTTCTCCCTGCCAGGAAATTTCTTCTTAGTTCTAGGTTGGGTCTCTCCTTGTTAAGTTGCTTCATCTGTTGCTTCTTGTCCTGCCCTCAGGTACTTTGGAGAATACGTTGATCCCCTCTTCTTTGTGACAGTCCCCCAAGACTGCTATCATGTCTTGCCTCTCATATGCATACATCATTTATAGAAAAGCTTTCCCCTAACCATACCAAATATCGCTAACCGTATCAAATAATAATTATAATTGCTAGACAACATAGTCATTGATCATGAGGACTTCAAATTATGAGAATTGTGGCCTGACACATCTACTGTAGATGATATAAGGCTGTAATAGAACAAAATACTGTGCAACTGTCTTTAATGTTCAATAGCATATGAAAAAAGAACAACAGTACAAAAGTCTAAATAAAGGTTAAATTTGTTCAAAGAATCGTACATTTAATAGATCACATGTGAAAGACTATAACAAGAGAGGATTATACCTTGTTCTGAGAGCAAAAACACTTCCCTTCAGAATTTTTTTCCATAATTGGAAGAGCTTGTATTTTACCAATGTGACCGATTGATGGTGATGCTGCAGTAGTTTTCAAGCTTTTCTCCAAAGGATGCTGAAATTATGAATACATATTATCTGGATTGAAGTCTATTTCGTTAAAATCAAATTATACTATCTATAGCATCTTTTGCATCTGCAGAGAGTACATTTACATGGTGAAAAAAATAATAATAACCTGTGTTGACAGGTTCAGCAACCTGAATTGAAAATCTGGCAATAATAATGCAATGGAATTATAGTAAATGCTGTTATTATTTTAAATAGCTGTTAGTTTATATTTACCTAATCCATACTTCATAGGTAGAGTGCACTATGCTACAAGCAATATGCTTAGAACATATACTAATAGAGTAAAGCCTCTGAAACCATAGGAGCTCCAGTGTAGATCCTCTTTCTGTGACACTGATTACAGTGATTTGAACATGTTATTCTTATTATTTGAGCGGTAGACAAATTTCAAGATTCCTTACTAAAGTTTAGGAAGAAGTGCCATAATTATTCCTCCAGATTTTTTTAAATACACTTCTTTCAGCTTGTATTTTTAAGCCTATTGTATTTATTTTTAAAATCGATATTTTACTGTGCTACACAAGTTCCCAGAACACTAAAGGTCTGGGTAGAAGATAGTTTTTTTAAAAAAAAATATGAATAAAGATTGCATCATCAAAATAATAATAAAAAATCTTTCAAATGATTTTTTTTTCTCTCTTGTTCAATCGTGTCCAATTCTCAGAAACTACCCAGAGAAGTCCCTGCAGTTTTCTTGGCAAGATTTTTCAGAAGTGGTTTGCCGTTGCCTCTTTCCTAGGGCTGAGAGAAAGTAACCGGGCCAAGGTCACTAGCTGATTTTGTCCCTAAGGCGGGATTAGGTTTTCCAGTTTCTACATGATGCCTTAACTACGCCAAACTTGCTGTCTTCAAATG